TAGCACTTGAGTCAGTGTCCCCTTGACTAAAATACTCTGCTGATTCAGGATCTTACTGACATAACAAATAATATTAGGCTGCTATGATGTTTTCACTCTTGTGAGCTACTTCTGCCTCTGGTATCTGTCACTGCTGTTGTCCACACCAATCCCAAATCAATGACTAGCAACAGTAGGCTGCTCTAAAATTGTGAATGTGGATGATTGCATCAGAATTCCTCTTAGCACATACATATCCCCTATGCTCCATTCCATGTTTTCATTGCTTTTCTTAATGGACGGAGAGCATTTCTGCCAGCAGCTTGTTAAATGGAAATGTTTCTGCTGTATGATCTAGATGTTTTAAAATAAATAATTGCTGCCTCCCCCACAGTTTCTAGACAGAAGCACTTGTGTTTGGGATCAGAGTGCAAACCTACTTCCTTGTATTTGAGTTAAACAACTTCTCTACAGTTTTGCTATTGCATGAGAATACTTTCCATAATTCCAGACAGTTTGACTTCAAGTAGGAATAGTTGGCGTGTGCTGGAGTTTTCCATTTTCCTTGTTCAAAAATAAAAGAGAATCTCCACTCTTCTGCTTGTAATTATTCCCCGTCATATTGCTGATGTCTGAGTTGCCTCTCTTTTTATACTGGGATTCATACTGTCTGGTTGTTATAATTGTTTCCCCTCTTTTTCTTCCTTCCTGTCTTATGTTCATTGGGTTTCTGCCAGGTTTTGGAGTGTTAAAAGGCAACAGAGAAAGGCAATTTTTAGTGTATATCATCAGCAAGCAAACACCTCTTGTCCTAGGTACAATGTGATTCCAGCCAACATGGGTTAATGAAAATCTATTGCTCATTGGGGCAGGGCAAAACTCATGGCAACTCCAGTTTACACAATGGGAAGTGAAGATGAAAATATTTATGAATCATTCACCTTAATGCAGGAAGGAGATAAGAATAGATGTTTTGATACTCTTCCTAATACATCTGAACACTATTCCCAAAGCAAAAACTAACAACTGAACGAATGTACTTTTTATCAATAGGGGCAAGAGCCTAGAAAGGAGCATTGTGACTTTCGTTTTAGTCAGTAAGAACATAATAAGCAATTGTTTTGTAGTTGGGATTTTAAACAAGGACGTTCAGGCAAATCACAGTTAATGTCTGAGCCTAGAGTTAATGTCTAAACTTGCTATACAACCAGTCAGCCAGCTGTGTAAGATATCAAAAATGCATTGCAGGTATATAAAGATCTTACACAGGACAAGGAATAAATCTTTTCCTGTAGGGAGTTGAGGTTCCTATGGGCAATATTTTAGTTCATAGGTTGCATGAGGCAGTTTGTAATGAAAATTTAAAATTAGTTCTGAAAGTGAATGAAATGGTTGGACTAAAATTAGAGAGAAATATAGGCGAACACAATCTTAATTACTGCTGCTAGGGAATGCAATAAAAAGTAAGTAGTAAGCACAGATCCAGAAAAAAAGATAAAGCCAAGTGAACTTTTGCATGTTTTTATTAAGGTCAATGGGACTTAAGCCTGTATTTAACTACTTTGCTGACTGAGTCTATAATTATCCTGCATTGAACAGTATTTCATTAGGACTCAGTAACTGTATTGTGGTTAGCACTGTAAGAAATATCTGAGAAGCTGCATTGACTGTTATCCATTAGGATGAAATCAGATTTGTCTGAACTGCAGTATAGAGAGTGAGGTTTTTTCCATGTCCTCAGAATGTGAATGCAGTTGGCAAACTAAAACCCTGAGATTATTTGCCCTGGTTTTAACTGTTCTTATACCAGTATTCCTATTGGTTTTCTGTCTTCCCACCTTCTTCATGTTAGAACCCAGTTTTCCCCCCAAAAGCTGTTTCTTTTGGTCATTTCCAAAGTAGGCTTCTGAGGGTCTTTCAGAGTCTCCTCTATGTTTAACAATGCAGCCCGTCCCTGGTGTTAAAAAATCTCGGATTAGTTTTCTTTGGCATAAATTTACTCAAAGCATTCTGGCAAATCTTAAGCATGCTGCTTTGTAGAGAAATGGAAATTTTGAAACTAGTTGATCTACTAGAAGCAATAAAAAGAATTTGCTATCCTTTTTGATATTTAGCTACTGTCAAACTTAAAAAAATGTTCTGTTTTTCTTGGAAACTGCTTAGTGATATGTTGTTTATTTTTTAGTAAGGCTTGTTTCTAGCCATGGCTCATCTTCTGAGAAGATGGCTCACTTGATGTATTCTCTAAAATCCCATACCTTATTAAAAATCTGTAATGTTTTTAGTCATGATGGCAGTAATCAAGCCATTCCTTAGGGAACCGAGGGAGCCTTAAAGCAGAAAGGAAGGATGTTCCTGTGGTTAAGTGAGTAGCCCCTGACTCAGATGTGGGTTCAGGTCCTAGCACTGCTATAGATGTGTTTTGTGGCCTTATATGAGTCCCTTAGTTTCTGTGTCCCTCAATTCTCCATACATGAACATGTGTGTTCTGTTCCATCCTGCTCAAGGCCCTAAAAAAATATTGACCTATCTGCTTTCATAACACACCATCAGCTTACATCACAGAAAGCAGCAAGCAGGAGGAAGATACATCCATCTTTTGTATGAAGTGTTTTTCAGGAACTTGAGGAGGCTGGAACAGGATTATACTTAGGCTTCTAGTAGGTGGAATAAGATCTGGCCACAAATGTGTTTATTTGTAATGGGATGCAGGGAAGTACAAATCAAACACATCTGCTTGATCAAGTAAGTTAGTTGAAATGATTACAGAAAGGACACCTATATGGTGATGATTCAGTAGCAATGAACCAGCATTGCTCCTGCTAAGGAAAATAATCTCACTAATCTTTTTGAAGTTCTCTGAACATATCAATGAAATAATGGGAAGAGGAGCCGCATCCATTGCCAGTTGATTGGAATTATTTTGACAAAAACAAGATGATATCAGGGAAACTAAGCAGCCGTGTGGTGAGAGAGAAACTACTGTTATGGACTAGACAGTGACTAATACAGAAAAGAAAGCATGATAATAAATGATTATTTGAATCAGGTCATGTGTACAAGTCCCCCCCCAAAAGAAAAAAAAGGGTCTTTATTAGATTTCTTTTAGACAATTATGTATCCATGTGTTTTGTTTGTCTCTTGAGTTCTTTTAAGAAATTGAAATCTAACCATACTCTTATGTGAATTGTAATTGCTAAGATAGTTTGAAAATTACATTTAAGAATTAAGTATGAAAGAGAACAATTCAAATGTTAATGAGTCTGGCTACAACAAATGTATTTATTCAAATGCCCTGTTGTGGAGATTCATATGTTATTGCAGAATAGGTGAGCTGGGGGGGAGGTCTGCATGCTACTGTGTCTGCCTTTCAACCTCAAACTAGAATTTCAGTAGTGCCTGGTACTTGCTGTGGCTCCTCACAAGCAGGTAGATTTCACCCATTTTGTGAATCCAAAGAAAACTACTTACAGGAATTTGAATAGCAATATACCACCAAGCACTGTTATAATCAACTACATAGTGTACGACCCCTGTTAAGAAAGAGAACAGTGGTTTTAGTACCAGACAAAGCTATTCACTGAGCAAGCACTGGGCAAGAACTATGCATACCAGAGGTTCCTCACCAATCACTCTTGAACTTCATGGGCACTGACAGATGTGCAGGCCCCCCTCTCTAATTCATGGTGCTTTACATAAAGTGCCATGAGTTAGAGTTCCTCACCCCACCCCCGACCCAACAGACGTTTACCTGCTGAGTTGGGGGGGGGCAGGGGGAATTGCACCTGCCTGCAGGGGAGGAGCATCCTGTCTCTTCAACCTCACCCCCAGCTTCCAGCTTGGGGAGGCAGGGATGGCTATCAGCATGAAAGGAGGAAAAATGGGAGTGGGGAAGGGGAAGCCAGAAGCAGTGAGCTGTTGGCTGGGGTTTGCCTGGCCTGAGAGGGAGGGAGAGGGCTGTCAGGGGCTTCAGGGTGGGAGGGCTCTGATCCAGCTGCCCCACCTCTAAAGAAGAGTGCCTTTATCTGACATCTCATTTGATGAGGGTTAATTTTTCATGCAGTCAGCCACTTTAAAAGCACTCTGCAGCCATGAACGTATGTCACAGCACAGCTGTAGAGCACCTCAGGGGGGCTGATCATATGAAAAATGTAACTTCTGTCTTTGCCCCATGAGTCTATTGTTGTGTGCCTCAGGATGTGGACAAGAATAGAAAATTCACCACGGCAAGGGAATGCAATTAAAATACAACATTGATATATACTAACCTATCCCATTACAAAAGGAATTTAGAGTTTAAAAGTTTATTGTACTCTCTGAAGTTCACAGGTCTTCACATCTTAGAAGACTCTGCTCCAATAGGCAGATCTCTCTGAATTAACTATAAGGATGTCACCTAGGTACAGACATCCATGCCTAATAAATACATTAAATAATTTCCATGTCTTGTCATGATTGTTCAGGTTGGTGATAGAGATTCTGGTGGCTGTTAGGAACGGTCTCTTAGACATTTTCAATGCAGGATTTTTCATTGATGCCTAATAAAAATTCTTCAGAAGGAAAGAACCTGAAAATGCAATCAGAAAACTGTTTCTCTCAGGGATGCACCTAACATACAGCCTAGCAAGTGCTCCTTCTACCTTCCTCTTGTCTCATCAGAATGGACATAGCGCTCTGGATGTTATGTGCAACTAGATCCTCTTGAAAAGTAAGGAACAAATGTATAGCCAGATCTATTGTCATGGCATTCAGGTACTTATAACACAGCTAAATGTGGCCAGATTTTTATAGGGGTTAGACAGATCACATCCTTCAGTCTAAGACTGTCTTCCTGCTGGATGGTGAGAGCTGACTCCGAACAGTGAAGGAATTACAGTACATCCCGTTTTGGAAAAAGTGATGTCTCATTTATTTTTAGTCAAATCTAGGTTAGATGAATAGTATTGAATAGCTGGTATTACAACTTCTTCTTGAGTTGAATATTATACTAACATTTTCCTTTTTTCATATATTTCCAACAGGCATCTACCGAACAGAAAAAGACAAAGGCACGTTGTATGAGCTGACTTTCAAAGGTGACAGGAAACATGAATTCAAACGAATTGTTTTATTTAGACCATTTGGTCCTGTCATGAAAGTAAAGAATGAAAACATCAACATGGCCAACACACTCATTAACGTCATAGTTCCATTGGCCAAAAGAACCAGCAAGTTCCGACAATTTATGCAAAATTTTAGGTGGGTTTTATTTTGTGACTCTATAATAGCTATTTTTATTTTTTGGACAGCATGTTGCAGTTAAAGTAAATACCAAGGACGTTTCCAGTGAAAAATCCTATTTTTTGCCGAAATTCAAATTAGTTTCTTACAAAGAAATCCATTGGCAGTCACTTAGAAAAACATAATATTGCGCCTGAACTGCAATTAGCTTTACCAGTGGAAACCAGTGGAAGGATTTATATAGCATTTATCAATCATTTTGAAGTGGGTGCCATGTGTACTCAACATTTTATCCCATTTGAAACACAGTATTTCCATCTGGAAGAAAGCACTTGTCAGAGCCACTTCAATACATATGTCAATCTCACTCCATAGAAATACTGTCTAGAAAACAGGGGTCACTTTATTATCCCGACAGCTTGCCAAGCTCCTCAGTGATAGGACAGATGATTAGCTACAAAGAAACAATAAAAACTGTTCTTGAACTCAAGGATATTGTCTCCTTGTTACTTTTGATCAAGACTCATTTTTTATTTCCTTGTCCTTAAAATGTGGCTGTGGCATTTGCAGGAATGGATTTAATTAAGGTGCATTGCCAAGTGTGAACTAATAATAACCTGGCCAGCTACGAGGTTTGCATTTTGATAAGTCAGAAGTTTGTGAGGCTTCCAAATAACTTTGCTGTCCAGAAGAACTCAGATGTTGAGAGATGCAGAAATTACTAGCTGCTTGATTTCTTCACCCATGGGAACTGTTTGTGTAGATCTCCCTTACCTGGTTTTCAGGGACATAACTAGAGATTGCAGTATGCAGAAGAAGTAGAAATGAAGGCATGTGATTTTTTTTTCCCTCTTCAAGTTTCCCTTTCTCCTTTCAGTATTGAGGTAGCACCTGCTGGCTTTACTAGTTAGCCACATAATTGCTGGCTTCCTGCCAGTGGCCTTCACACTATCTTCCATGTGGCTGGATGGGCCATTTCAATGTTCTGAAATCATAACACAGGTAACTAGTAATAACACTTCTCTCCTGGCTAATAGACCTCTATAAATTATATGACACCCCATCCTGCCAGTGTATTATAAGAGAAACAACATGTTTGTGTCTGGGTGCAACGGTCTCGTGCTCTCTCTCAGTGGAGTTACACCAAGAAACTGTGTATCCTGAAAACTCCCATTATCATCCTGCCATCTCAATTAAATATGCTGAGCATCAGTTGGGAAAGCAAACCTTCATGAATCTGTTATGTCTGTTCTAGGGAAATGGGCATTCAGCAAGATGGGAAAATTCACCTCACTGTGGTTTACTTTGGAAAAGAGCAAATGAATGAGGTGAAAGCAATATTGGAAAACACCTCCAGGTACGTATGGTCCTCTTTTGAAACATGACTAGTCACATGCAGTGGGGGACCCACAGACCAGAGACTAGACATCCGTTTGATTTCCTTTCCCCAGCCCTGTCAGAAGGCGCTAACAGCAGTGGAAGGATCATTGCCCTTCACTTACCATCAGTTAAAATAACATTACCTTGGGAATTCCCCACCTGTGCTTGCACAACACTGCAACATTGCAGGCATTTCAAGCTCTGGGGCACATTTTATGAACTCAGCCAAATGTAACTCCCACTTTACAGCTGAAACGATGATCAGTCTGGAAATGATCAGCCCTGAATTTCAATGAACCTTAGGTAAACAGCTTTTATCAACTGGGGCTGAAGTTTGACTTGGAGAGACACCTAAAAATTGGGATTTGTAATAGAATCTAAGGCTAAGTCCAAGCTTGTGTCAATCTAGTTTACATTGCCAGGGGTGTGAAGAGATGTGATCCTTGAGTGATATAGCTCCTACAGGCAAAAAACACCTACTGTAGACACATTTATACTAGCAAAATTGTACTTTCTACTGCTGTAGCTTATTTTCATTGTGGGGGCTGGTTTTACTGTACTGGTATGGAGTGCTCTGCTGATTTGATATACCTTGAGGCCCCTTTGAAAATCCTAACTTTAAGTATTTTCTACACTTGGTGAAAGGCCCTTTGCCTTTTCTCTACTTGTATTGTGCGCTAACAGGAAAGGTCAGAACTGCTGAATACAGATCAATGTCCTACTGTCCTGATTTAGATGGATACTCTGTATTCATTTGAGCTTGTGCTACCTGAATGAAGTGGAGGAAACAACACTATTGTGCTATGGATATATGAACATTATTGTACAGGGCCAGTTAGGAAGGCCAACCGTACCTTGTCATGCATCCACAGATGCATCTCGAGCAGGTCCAGAGAGGTGATTCTCCCCCTTTATGCGGCACTGGTCAGGCCGCAGTTGGAGTACTGCGTCCAGTTCTGGGTGCTGCACTTCAAGAGGGATGTGGACAGCATGGAGAGGGTCCAGAGGAGGGCCACTCGCATGATCAGGGGACTGCAGGGCAGGCCCTATGAGGAGAGACTACGGGACCTGAACCTGTTCAGCCTCCACAAGAGAAGGCTGAGGGGGGATCTTGTGGCCTGTTACAAACTGGTCAGGGGGGATCAGAAGGCATTGGGGGAGTCACTGTTCCCCCGAGCACAGCCAGGAGTGACCAGGAATAACGGTCACAAGCTAGTAGAGGGTAGATTTAGGTTAGACATCAGAAGAAGCTTTTTCATGGTCAGGGTGGCTAGGGTCTGGAACCAACTTCCAAGGGAAGTGGTGCAGGCTCCTACCCTGGGGGTTTTTAAGAAGAGGTTAGATGAACACCTTGCTGGGGTTGTTTGACCCCAGTACTCTTTCCTGCCATGGTGGGGGGTTAGACTAGATGATCTTCTCAGGTCCCTTCTGACCCTAGAAACTGTGAAACTATGAAATCCTGAGTTAGCGCAAATTAGCACTGTTCCACTGAGATCACTGGGCATGTCTATGGCAGATGTTTATGGCACTGTTATGATAGTCTGTACTGTTCAATGGAGGAGTTGGTTATTGTTTCATAAGAGCATGCTGAAATATTGTTTGGCATAAAATGGGATTTCGGGAAATGTTGATAGTATTGCCAGGGAGCACATCTCTGCAGTCCATTCTCTGACAGTGTTATCAATGACAATATGGTCCATATGGCTGTGTGCTCTGATGGTCTAGCTCCAGGGTTACCAGCCTTTTAGGAGTGGCAGGCCAAAATAACACAGCTGAGCCCAAGGAGGATGCTACATGCAACCAGGCTGCTGCCGTTTCCCCTCCCACCAACTTGCTGCTGACTTGCTTGCAGCCTGGCTGCCACCACATGCTGCCAACATCCCAGCTCCATGCCCTAGGTGAAATTGCTTGATGGACTAGGCCAGTGGTCTCCAAACTTTTTTGACCACGCACCCCTATCAGTAAAAAATTTTTGAGCACGCACCCCCAATATACGTATATTTATATTCGCGTACCCCTATCAGTAAAACATTTTTGAGCATGCACCCCCAATATATGTATATTTATATAAATATATATATAAATAGAAGGTCTAATATTTTCTTCTTGCACCCCAATGGATCGTCTTGCGCACCCCACTTTGGAGACTACTGGACTAGGTTGCAAGCTGGGAGGTGTAGGAAAGTTAGTCTAGCCTTCAGGTTTGGGAGCAGCAGCAAAGCCAGACTGAAGGGGGTAAGAAGAAGGTCCCGGGTAATGTGGGGCCCTTGCAGGACACGTTGGGAAATTTGGTCGTCACACCAGACGACAAAGCTAACATGTTTAACAATTTCTTTGCCTCCGTCTTGCTAAGTAGGGACCAGAACAGCTACCTCCCTGCTGGGCCCCCCCCGGGCCCCGGGGGAGGCACACCTGGGCCAAGGGTTAGCGAGGATTTAGTTAGGGAGCTTCGGAGGGGCTGGACGTTTTCAAGTCAGCCGGTCCGGATGATCTCCACCCTAGAGTTCTAAAGGAACTGGCCAAGGTCATTGCAAGTCCCCTGGCACGGCTTTA